GCAAAGCGCAAATGCTGATGATTCATTTTTTGAAAAGAGAGAATATGTAGCTTGAGAAGCGATAAAAGCCGCCCTTCAACGGATACCGTAAAAATATCGTCCATGAAAATAAATGCGACGGCTTCTATTCAAGAAAATACGAATATTCTAAATAAAGATATTAGGCAGAAAGAAGGACTTCCTAGCGTGCATTTTCATTAGAAATTGATTGCTTCTGCTTTTTCAAGAAGGAATGTGGCAAAGAATGGATTCAGCTGGATGTCAGAAAGCCTTCGTTATTTAAATCTAGGTCTACTTGAAGTTTCTAAATTATTTTCTACGTTGGCTATTGACATCAGTAGATTATGTTCTAGTTTTCAAAGAATAAATGTCACTGAGACAGTCTCTCTATTCTATACTATGAAGAACATGGACTAGATCTCCCCACTGCACTGAAAATATTTTTAGCTGTTGCTTAGCTGAGGAAAACTTTTCTGAACTAATATTGGCGCCGTTTCTTGCGGATTCTTCTTTCAATATAAAAAGCTTCAAAACGTAGCAAATGTTTAAAAAATTCTAGATTTTTCAAGCAGACTATGAAGTTTCTTCAGCAGGACCGGCTCTAAAGCTCCTGGACAGGAAGGGGGGGGGGGGGGCAAGACATAAATTTTCCGATTTCATGGCAAATTTGTGTCAAGGTTGTCTTAAGGTCTCTCTTAAAAGTTTTCCAAGAAGATAAGGGTAGTAGATTTTTTGAATGCCTCTTTTCTAGGTGCCTGTAGAATTTTTGATAATGATTAAATCTCGTCATTTTCAAGCAGGCAAGATGAAAACTGGACAACAAATTGAAGTAAAATTATATATCAAAATCTAGTTAATTAACTATTTTAACCTCGAAATTTTCCTTTTTCTATATATTTTACCGTTAGCAGTGAGGTAAAAATGCTTGTTAGTAAATAGACTTCTCTATAACATACTCATTTTTCTTGAGTCCCTGAGATATTTTTTTTAACTTTAATAGTGTGTTAAAATCAAAGCATTTCGTAGAAATTAAAAGAAAGCATTACATTTCAGATTGATCAACCAGTTTTTACAATTGTTCCAAGAAATTACCAAACAAATATGAAACATTGGAAAGAGGTTTGTTTATGTTGTTATTACTGAAACATCAAACTTATGATATTAATGCTTGTTTTTGTCTGCAATTTGATAAATTATTCAATTGTGGACTTTTAGGGAAACCTTACCTTAGTCATCGTAACTCTTTTTCCATGAGTCCAGTGTTGAAGTTGCAAGTAGCAACAAGTGCGTAAAGGTACAAACAGTAGAACATCTCATATCCAAGTAGAGTATAGAAGCAGTCACTTCGAATGGCTTTTTTGCCACCGGCTTCGCGAAATTCACTAAAAAATTTCATACTGCAGTTGTGAAAGGATTTTCTTTGAAGCATCGTTACGCCTCGTTTTTACAACAGTAACTGGAACCAGTTTATTCAATAACTAGGATATTTTAAAGTACGATGGAAACAATTATCTTATGAATTGCTTGAGAGTGCGATGAAGAGTTGGAGAGCAGAATCAAAATATTTCAAGAATCAACCACAGATAGCTAAGCAAAAGGGTTCTCGGAAAAATCAACAAACAAGGACATTTAGCTTGTTTTATTGCTCATGTCTTGTTTGTTTACAAATTATTCTATCAGTATGTTCAAGATGAAAACATCTTGATCTTTTAAATCTCCAAAAAGATAAAGACGCTGTTAAAATTTTTCGAAAAGATAAAAAAAGAGTCATTAACTGGTGGCAAGGAAGATAAATTTACTGAATATTTGGAAGCTGAGGGAGGGGACAGCCATATTACTTACACCTTTTTTTAGTATGTGCTTGTCAGACGCAGTTTTGAAGCAATACACAATCATATTGTTGAGTCACTGATAAATTTTTAAGCTGAAAAATGCTGGACGTGCCGCAGGAAATATACAAAGTAGAGGAATAATACCAACGGACAAAAGACTTTTCGTTTAGAGACGCAGAATGCTGAAATAGTCTTTCAACTGAACCAATGCAGGCATCTTTGATTAATTCCTTTTAGTGCTAAATTTAGCCTAGATCTTTCAATTTAGTTATTCTTTTTATATCTTTTATCCTTTCTTAAATTGATTTTAGCACTGAATTTTATAAGATTAACTAGGCTTTAGATTACGAATAGAAATTTAAGAATCAAGAATATGACTTACTGCAGATCCTTGGGCTTACAAAGAGCTTGCTTAATGAAAGCAAATCCTACTCTAATTATAAAATACGAGGCCGCTTGTCGTCCGGCCTCTAGACTTTTCAAAGTCCATTTCTCTGTCATACCAGTACGGGAACATATCTGGATTATATGCAACACGCATAAAAAATTACCTTTGGAAATCGATCAGGATTCAGGCCTCGAAAGAACTCCGATTTGACTCTGCATGCAAACAATGCATACAACTACTACTGCACGCCTGCTTTCAACGAGTAGTACCCCCAGCCTAGCTAAGCACACAATAATTGCAAGGTCCAGTTCGGCCCAACAATGCTTTTCAGAGCAAATCAAATTAAATCAAATCAAATGGCTGCAGCGGCAGCAGCGGAGGGCTAGAAAGCCTTGACCCCCCCCAGTAATTAACCCTGGGGGTAAAATTGAGAATCTTGGCTACGCCCTTGAAGTTTTGGCATTTACTTTGCTAACTATTTTGAGAGATTGTTTTTTCAGGCCTTGGAAAAATCCTATGCTAATTCAAATTTCTTTGGGAATACCAAATTGTTTGCAGATTTCTAGAAAAATACTTCAGTAAACGAAGGTAAACAATATCCATTGTACATGCATCCTGTTGAGAAAGTACTACAGCCCATTTATCACAGGGGGCTAATGAACTTACAAGTCGGGGGTCGGGGGCTCAGTCGTTTTTGTCAAAACTGGTAGAGGTTTTTTTGGGGGGGGGGAGGGAGCAGTTTCTATTTTCTTTAAGGAGTCGGTGAAAAACTTGAATGATTTCATATGCACAACATGGAATCTTTAACACAAATGCAAGTATAAAGGTTGCGACCATAGGTGTGGTCTTGGGTGTGGCATGAAGACGTTCCCTACTGCACGGCCCCTTTTCTAATCTTCTAGGCCCTGGAGATGTGATCAACCCAAAATAAGATTCAGATACGCCTTTCTTTGCTTATTTGCACTGGATTCAGGCAGGTCATGATGAAAAGCATAGAGCAGAGATATACTATTTATTCAACGAAAAAACACAAGAAACTCATCCAGATCTAAACCAGCGATGTCGCTTTGATTGATCGACGCCTGTGAATGATATTATTAACTGTGGCAGCCTAAAGAAAGAAAGCCTCGACACCGGCATTAGACATATCGTCTCTTGGATAATCTTGTCAGTGTAGTTTTGCAGTGTCAGTTTTCTTTGCTTGGGCACATTTTTTATAATATGCATGAAACTTTGGATACTCGGTACTAAATAGATTACTCAATAGAAAGAAAGTGATAAATATCCCGCCTCTTTTCGAAAACGGTATATTTGTTACAAGTGTGCCAGCAAAGGCCACAATACTTGATGAATTTTTTATGCAACAGTCTTCCACTATAACAACTAGGAGCACAATTCCAACCTTTCTTCCACGATGTGACAAAACTTTGCATATTCTCATGATAGACAAAGGAAAGATACTTCGATTAATTAGATCAATAAACGGTAATAACGCTCATGATTGGGACGGGATCTCAGCACCAATGATAAAATTTTGTGATTTTTCTCTTACTTAACCACTGTGTCTTACTTTCGAAAAATGTATTGAAACAGGCATCTTTCTTTCAGTATGGAAAAAAGCTAACATTGTCCCTGTTCATAAAAAGGCTAGTAGACAGAATAAGAAAAATAATCGTTCAATATCGCTTTTGCCAATCCTTGGTTAAATGTTTGAGAAAGTCATTTTTGACGCTATGTATAAGCACTTTTATGTTAACGGCTTTTAACTCCCAGTCAATCTGGTTTTCGCCCGCCCAGGTGATTCAACTATCAACCAGCTATTGGAAAAAACTCATAAGATATACTGTGCATTCGAGAGCGCTCTTAGTTTAGAAACTCGTTCTATCTTTTGGATTTCTCCAAGGCATTTGATAGAGTGTGGCATGATGATCTTCTGTACAAGCTTGAAAGCAGTGGAATATCAAGTAACCTATTAGTTTAATGCAAAGTTTCCTGGTCAATCGGAAACAAAGAGTTGTCTTAAATGGGAAATGTTCCAACTGGGAAACCATCACTTCGGGAGTTCCACAAGGGTCTGTTCTCGGTCCTCTATTTTTCTTAATCTACATAAACGACCTCGTTGAAAATGTAAATTGTGACATAAAACTTTTTGCTGATGACACATCACTGTTTCAAGTTGTTAAAGGTGAGGCTAGAACTGCTTTAGAGTTTAATCGTGATTTTGAACGTGTTAGCCTGTGGCTGTGGCAATGGAAGATGCAATTTAATGCTGAAAAGACAGAAAAGGTAATTTTTTCCACAAAAAGGTAAAACCTCAGCATCCACCTCCCAATCTTGGTAGCGAAGAGATTGTCAGAAAAACTGAACATAAGCATTTTGGTATGATCCTGGATGAAAAGTAAAACTTCAAGAGTCATATTCAAGAGGCTATTCTTAAGGCAAGAAGGGGAATAGGGATGATAAAATTTCTGTCTAAGTATGTTTCACGTACTGTGCTTGACCAAATCTATCAACTTTATATCAGACCCCATCTTGATTACGGTGATATTATCCATTACAAACATATTCTCTTAGAAACGTAAATGAATACGATGCAGCTGTCTGCAGAACTGCTCGCTTTTCAAACGCAAATTTCCAGAATGTGCTCCTTGAATGGCATGCGTTAGCAAAAGATGTTCGTGAGTCTGAGTCGAATACGTTAGGTGAATTTAAACGCAAGCTGCTCGCAAAGATAAAACCAGATAAGAAACCATTATTTGAAATTTGCGACACACGTGGTGTGAGATGCTTAACTATGCTCCGGGTTAGATTTAGCCTCCTAAGCGAGCACAAGTTTCTTCACAACTTTGAATTTTTGAATCCCATCTGCACGTGCAATACAGGCATTGAAGACAATGAGCATTTTCTCCTGCTTTGGCCCATGTATGACCAGATGCGTAACGATCTCTTTGATCAGCTTTCAGAAATCCCAGTTCTTGAGTTTGATAATCTTAACTCTGAGGCCCTATATGAACTACTCCTTTTTGGTAATCCACGGTTCAACAATATTGCAAACAAATTGATTTTGGAGGCAACAATATCATTCATTTTATCAACTGGAAGGCTAGAGTAAAGCGAATAAAACTACCAGCAGCGCCTTACCCATCTTTTTTACTGTAACCTGATGATTTGCCAATCGTTGCAATGTTCCGATGTCAAGTGCTCATCAAGATGCGAACCTTGCTTTGTAATCTTAGATTGAAAATATTTGACAATTTCCTTCGTTTTATTCAAATTTTTCATTTCACCGTTCGATAGAAGCAGCTACGATAAATCATTTCACTGAAAAGTAAGGCCAGATCAGTGGGCTTCAATTTATTTCTTTAGTGTTTCAGATCATTTTATAGTGATTTCAAATGTAAAAGTAACTGGGAGAAGAGCCTTGATATGCCCAAGTTTTAAAAATGCTGTTGATTTTGTGTAGATTCTGTTCAGCATCAATTTTTTGATAAAAGTTTTTTAATAACTTGTGGCGGGATGCCAATTAACATCGGAATTCAATATTTTATCGAATTCTTGTGCCGCAAACATATGAATTTGAAGTTCACTTTGCTCCGTGTGAACTTTACACGTGTTTTGAATCATTGTTAGGTCTTGTAATTAGCGAAAAACCAAAGCCTTTTTCGATTGAAATATCCATAGCAAAGTAAACTAATCACTTTGCTGCATGGGTCTTGGGAATTTTCAAATAATTTTTTTCATAAAAGACAAATTAGCCGGTTCTTAACTTTAAAAGGTATAATGCTGTTGCGTTGTTAGAATGGTTTAAACTTTTCTCTGAAGGAACTTCCGACAATGCAGTTTCACGCAAACAGCCTTGTGAAAAGAGCTTTTTCAAAGTTAGTGTGCCAAAAAATTTATTTTTCCCTTTTTTGTTCAATTTACTTTATGGAAAATAAAGCATTCGTAGAAGGATGCAAGTGGAGTTAGAATGTAAAGAGTTGTACATCAGAGGTATTCAAAGTAGTTTTTATTTTTGCAGATTTTTGGTGCGTATGAGAACATGGTAAAGCGATATGTGACGCTTCTTGGAGGAAACTCTTCAACAAGTGACATAAAGGACCTTCTGGATCTTGAAATGAAACTTGCAAATGTAATTGCTAGCTTATTCCATAACTCATCAGCTTTATTAATAGCTTTTCTGTTATTTTCTTTAAATTCTCTCCTTATATAGAAAAACTCAAAGTAAGCATAAGATAAATGCAAAGGAATAAGATCGGCTTTTAAGGTGGAAGGCAAAAACTTTCAATTACAAATAAGATGGAGATGGCAATAGCGACAAACTGAGATTTAGTAGGGCTAGTGGAAAGTAGGAACTAGTGAGGTGAAATAAATTGTAAGGTGACGCGTAAGGTGATGTCTAAAGAGACGGCCTAAGATATTATCAGGTAGCATAGAGTGACACTTCTGGGACACTTGAGATGCTATGAAAGTATATGGCATTACGGTGCAGAAGTTTGGGGGTTTGAAATCATTAGTATGCTCGATGAAGTACTAATGATAATGAATGGAACGAGAGCTCAATTAATCAAAATGGTAATGAATGTTCGAAGATCTACTCCAGCGTGCATGGCATATGGTGAACTGGGACGTCTACCTATTTTAATTAATGTCAAGTTAAAAATAGTTGGGTAGTGGGGAAAACCTCTCACTAACAAACAAGATAAACTATGATATATTTTGTACAACCTATTTATTAATAAACGGGAGAACGTGAAATTGATTAGCAATTGGGGGTATGCACTAGTTAATAGAGTTTGATGAGGATTGATTGATCGATCAGAATGACATACTTTGAGCTCACTAATAAGATGTTTCTATGAATTTTTTTTAGGCATCAATACCAGTGACAATTTTCAGAGATGTGATGAAAAGCTACAAAACCCTTCCACTGGGGGAGCTGACAAGGGTAACAAATAATAAGGTAAATTTTGAATCAGATTCAAAGAGACCTCGACTAGGTTTGAAACAAGGGTAGTCAAAAACTTCGCCTTTAGTACGTTTATGGAATACTTCTTGAAAGTTTTAATAGTCTTTCTTTCAAAACCAATCGCTGAGCCTTATTTTGCTGTCTTCCTGTCTGTCAACATATTTTCACTCTCTTTTTTTCAACCTCTGATTTTTTAGCAGTTGTTTTTTCGTTGCAGTTTAACTGGAAACAATACCTCCAGAAAACTTTTCAAACGGTCAATGTGCGCATTTCTGACAACACACTAATCGGAACGAGGTCACTTGAATATTTTAAGACAATCAGTAGCCTCGTTGCCACGACGCCAAAAAGGTAATGTCTGTCTTCGCTTTTCGTAATGGTTTTTATATGCCGGACTTTAACTGCTGGGAGAGGCATGGGGGACTCTTACAAAAAAGCAATAAATTTGCCAAATATTTGTTTTATTGATGGAATTCACCGCGAATGAAATACAGTTGAATCCCGATATAACGAACTCTGAAGGGAACTAGAAAATAGTTCGTTATATCGGGAGTTCATTAAACCTAAGAAAACATTTTTTAGGTCTTTTCACGGTACACGCCTAGAATTGCCTTTGGTGAACTTGTTTAGGCTATCTCCAACCTTTTTGCAACTTCTACTCCGAAAAACCAAGCTGAAATCAAGTATTACTAATGGTTATTCGTCGAAAATGAAAATCTTTATTTTCCTCTTGTAATTTGGGACCAAGAAATTGGCAAAGCTGGTATCACTTTACTGCTAGTTGGAAGCTGAATGACGTCTTCGATTACTTATTTGTCTATTTCTTTCTTATTTGGCATTCTTATTTGCCTATTTCTTTTCACATTCCATCTGGGTCTCCCAAGAAAGTTTTGTCGTCGCTCATTGCCACTGTCTCATAAGTATTAAGGTATTCAGCGTCAATGTACTCATTGACGCAGTAATCTTTGACGCGATCAAAATTTAAATGTATTATCACCATGTTTTGCCGATTATAAAAACGATTTTCTCCGAAGAGAAAGTGACAAATGAACACCGAAAATAAATAAACAAAATTAACAGATGAAAAATTTATGAAAAGCTCATTATATCAAGGGTTATTTTGATGAAGGGACCCAAAATTTGGTTCGTAATATCGAGAGTTCGTTATTTCCGGGGCTCGTTAAACCAAGAGAATTTGTAAAGAGGATGTTAGGCAGAATCCAAGGGACAAGACATTTAGTTCGTCATACCGGGAATTCTTTATACCGGGAAGTTCGTTATTCAGCGATAAACGTGAGGGCTGGACTCGATATAAATCCCCATATTTTATCGCACGTTGATATAAGCGATATTATTATGCTGATAATACAACATTTTTTTACAATGCTTATCCGAAACATGTCGAATTCCTGTCGAGAACTACCAATCAATCAATGGAGCATCTATTAACATTGGCCAGAAATAGCACTCTTGTATTGAATAAGGAAAGACTAAAACTTGCGTTATTGTCAACAGCAAAAAATGCCAAGGAAAGATGGCCTGAGAGATACCTAACTAAAAAAGAAGGAAGATGGAAAGAACAGAGACATGTAAGCTATTGGGGGTAACTATAAACGAAAACTTAAAATGGGAGAACCATGTTAAAACGATCAGTAGCTCATGTTACGGAACCTTAGCAATCTTGAAGAAGTTAAAGAAAGTCGCACTTTTTGTCTCAGGAAGCAGTTAGTAGAATCTATCGTCTTATCAAATATTTGACTGCGGTGACCAGGCATACACGCCCCTAACTATTGCGCTCTAGAAATGCCTCCAAAGAATACATTTTGCAGCTGCATCCATCGTTCCCGTTTATTATGTAAAGAGCAAAAATGATATCTTTAAATTAGGATGGTTTTCCATAGAAGAGAGAAGATTTTTTAATCTCCATAAGCAAGTTTTCAAGGCTTTGAACTCAGAAGCATGGCCTGACCATTAGCAGTTGAATGCGAGAGAGAGTGGAGAGACCAAACAAGAACAAAGATCGAATGGCAGCTGATTGCTGGAAACTTTTCAAGACAATTGCTTGACAATTTGACTCCCAGTCAGAGACATAAAAAACTGTATAGGCTATAACATATTATTATCTTTTTTGAGGGAATTATCAGTTAAATAATGCTTAAAATTTAATTTATTTAAAGAGATATTCCTTTTTCTGTTTATATAGTTAAAATTATAATCATTCAAAATTACTATCATTATTATAATTATTAAATTTACACGAATAATATCTTATGCAGAGTCATTGCAAACTACTTTGGCTGGATTGTCGTTCAAAAATTTGGCATGCACCTTTCAAAAGAGTTTCGTGATGCAGAATTCAAGTTCCGCCAGGTGGCTCTCGGCGTTGATAAGGACACTGATCATTGGTTCAAATGCTTCGAAGTTGTAGAAGATAATTTGGATATGGCCATCGCAAGCCTGTTTGCACAAGCAGTAAAGCCTAAAAAAGCAGTTGATGTGGTAAATGTAACAATTAATTTCTGCAGACAAAAAAGTTTGACTTTATAGATGTAGTTTTGACAATCTTACTTAATCTCATTTGATGTAGCCTGACGTAATTCAATCCAACTTGATGTAAGTTAATCGATCGTCATCAAAATTAATCCAACCTATCTAGCACGATCTGACTTTACTTAACTTGACTTACCTAGAGTTAACGTAATCTCTTTGTAACCAAATTAGTTATAAATTTTACTGGGCCGTGAAATTTGCAGCTTGTGTCAGGTGCACGGTCTCCGTTTCATGCAAAACTTTGCAGCAAAGTATTTTTGCTCCTTGAACTTTCTTCAAGCAACCATTATCATGACTTGAAACATTGCTCCTAAAAGCAATACTTGTAACTAGATTGCTGTAACTTTTCAGGGCAAGCAGATAATTGAAGGTGTGAAAGCTACATTTTCAGCTGGACTTGACGGTCTTAAGTGGATGGATACAAAGACAAAGGAAGAAGCTAAGGTCAAGGTAAGTTTGCAAAAAAAGCTCTAGTTGTATCTCGGCGATTCCTTTCTGTTATAATGGCTTCGTTTTTGATTCATTTAACACTCAATTCAACTTTTGCTATACATAATCTTTATATTTCTTTTTGCAAGGCCAGCAGGATGATACATAATATTGGCTACCCAAAGTTTGTCGATGAGCCTGAAAAGCTTAATCAAATTTACAATACGGTATGAGTTTTTGCTGCCAATTGACATTCCTAGTTTTGCAGTATCAAGATGTAGAATTTCTCTTGCGACCATTGTAAACAACATATGTAGTTCAAAGTTCGTTGCACTTAGACGTTCTCACCGAAAAATTAAGAAGCAAATTTTAATAAAAAAGGTTTATATAGCTTCTTACAGATGCTAATTTTTGTGGCCATGGTAACAGGATGCTTCTTAACATAACCTGGACAAGGTTGGGCCCACTCAAGAAAGATAAAAAAGCTGACTTGCTGGTCTGCAAAATGTCGCTATTAAGAGCACTGCTTGATGTTTAAAATGTTTTGCAAGCTTGTCGCCATGCACTTTTCTACATTCTTGCATCATTTAATCCTAGTCAGACTAGTCGACAGGAGGGCACATCCCCTATACATGCCCCATTTCAATAAAATTTGGTCCCTAAAATGAGCTTTAATGAGAGGATTCTTGCATACATAGATTATCGATATAGCAAAGCATCTTTAAGTGTAGCATTAGACAATTGTTTCCGAAAAACAAGGCTGGAAAACTTACAGTCTAAAATGCTGTTTTTTCAGGGGCTGGTGTTTGAACCTGTAAACTCTTCAAGTACTCTTTTAGTTGTTTTGCACCTTGACATTCTGGGTACCAGAGCATATTAATTTGGGAGTGGAATAGCAGCTTGAAATCTCAATCTGTATGCAGCTGGGCACAGTCTAAATCATTCAGGCATCAAAGTTATGATTTTTAAAGCATTATTTTGAAAGAGGAGCCTGCTTGATTTTTGTGTCCAAGGCGTTTCATACTCCAGCATCACAATGTGATAAATCCTGCTAACCTCTACATGTCTTTGTCAGTGAGATTTGGAGATCAATCGCGATATTTCTCAAATTTTTCTCACACTACATTGTAAATTTTATGTAAAATATCAGAAGTAATTTAGAGCTAGGCGATTTATAGATTTGTAAACTATGCACGCGTCTTTGGCTTGTATGTCCACTACAATAAGCCTAATGGGCGAGTCGTAACTACTGTGCATTTAAAATCTAGCTGTTCGGCTCTGAAGTTTTTGCAGAAACTGCAACGTAGATCCCCACGGTTCAACGAAACAATGATAGGTTTTACCGTGGGTGTTTTAGGAAGTAATTTTTTGACCTATTGAAAAACTCCTAAAGCACACGAATCGTTTGATCGTTAGAAATGGGTCTGCTTATCTCAAGCTAAATGTTTATCGATATGAAGCTCTAAGTATTTAAGTTTATGAACCATTTCAATTTTGAAACCACCAGTAGAAAAAGGGGTGTTGCACTTGTTCTTTTGAAGTCTTCATTAGGATCGGATGAGATTCAATTATCATTGCCTGGGTCTTCAAGGCATTGAGAGTTCATTGCCTTTTCCTATCGCACACAGACCGGCGACAATCCTTGCAGAAATTTTTTTTTGAAAGTACGGAAAATTGTTTCTGTCTACTAAAAAGAAGAAGCCCAAGGCAAGACCCCTGTGGGACACTAAAGTATATTTCTACTATTTGTGACGGCACAATTGGTCCTGCATAAATGTCATTTAGATTTGCAAGATGGTGTAAACCAGGCTTAATTGACACAAAGAGCTCTGCATTTCTGCATCATTTTTAGGCATTGAAAGTTCGCGAAAGAGCAGGTTGATCGGATCTAGTCATAGGAGTCAAAAATAACTTGAAGACCAATATATTTGCAATGCAGACACTGTCCGACCTGACACGTGCGACCTGGCAGGTATTTGCGGGTTGAAAATGGTCATCTTTTTCTTCAGAATTTGTGAAATATTATCTCCAGTTGCATGTGCATCTCAATGCTTTGATGAAAAATAAATACAATTTTGGTAAAATATGCAAGAATTTTTTAATGTGTCGTCTAAATCTGAAGTTAAGGTAAATCTTCTTATTTCCTTGACAGCTTTCCATATCAAAAGGGATGCATTTGGAGAATGTAGTCAACAGTTACAAATGGAGACGTTTGAAGAATCTAAATCTTGCTACTGAACCTGTCAACAAAAGACTGTACGTCTGCCACTTACATACTTAATTTCTATGGTAAATTAAAGGAAGATCCCAAATCTTACAGAAGTGGAAAAACGGTGATACGTAACCAATGCCCAGAGATTCATTTTTTTTCTTAATTTTAGAAAGAAAATTTTAAAGTCTCAATGAAAAGAGCGTTCACAAGTGATTTGATGAGAGCAGCTTTTATAAAGATTTTTACATCTTCCTTGCAAACTGTCTTTTTTCCTTTCTTTTGCTTTAACCCTGGCTTGGTTATGGGTACTAGATCACTATCAAGCAATGTTTTGATTTGGTTTGTGAGGTATAATGTGAAAAAGCATTCTATCAAAATGGGCGGTTTTTTGAAAGTTATGTTTCTTTACAGTTAGAAAAAATTGAAGCCTGCCCTGCCTTGTCTTCTTTCTCCCCAACCTCGTATTAATAAAACAGTGTACAACAATTAAAGTCCCTATTTTAAATTTAAATTCATTTTTAAGAAAATTTAAGAAATTTTACTTTTGTAAATGTGAGGTTTCAAGCACAGTTATTAGATTGTTCCAAGGCTAGGCAACAAGCCTTATCCTAGGTGCTTAATACAGTTAACAGTTTTCATCAAATTGTTCTTTGCATTTCAGATGGGATCTTGCACCAACAATAGTCAATGCTTATTACGATGTTTCAAATAACAAAATGGGTATGTTTTCTGTAACCAACTAAATCTTGAATTTTTTGTGACCAAAATGCCTTTGATGAAAAGGGGTAAATATTTAATAAGCAAAATTAAGAATTGATAGAGTTTTCTTTTCCCACTGAGCAATTATTCCCGAATTCAACTTAACGATTTTAAGTAAGTACTTTTTCAAGAAGAAATAGCACTTACAATGCCTGCCAAAAGTACTTGGAACACCCACCAATTTACGTTGCATTTGATATCTTTCATTTCTTTCATGAAAAAAATTTGCTACTTCCGCCCCCTTCCCCCTCAAACAATGTTGATGATTTAGAGAAATATCATAAATGAAGCGCAAAAGAAAGTGCTTCCTAAAATCCTAATCCGTTTGATGGTAAACCAACATTGTTCCGTGGGGGAGAGGGGGATGATTGGTTTTGACCTTGGAAATTGATGTCAGTGTTCCAAGACTTTTGGCAGGCATTGTCTGAAAATTATCTTGAAAACAGCAATCTGCGATATCAAAACATTGTGCTACCCTAGGGTTTTCGATGGTGCTGATCTCACTGCTACTAATGAAAATTCGAAATTTTCACTCTTTACCCAGTTAAAAGGGGGGGGGAGGGGGTTGGGACTCTGAACGATTGATATAGTAGATATCCGAGTATTGTTATTTGTTACAAAAAACATTCTACTGATTTTTTCCGTCAATATCATTTAAATCATTATTGAATACAGTTATTTTGTGCAGAATTCGATCATCGGTTTAAGAAAACTATCAATCTTCAAAGGAAAAACAGTACAGTTCAGTGCTTTTGAAAAAGTGTTTTTTTGCTGAAAAGTCCCCTTATTTATGGTTTAATTGTTGATGAAAAAACAAAAAAATTCATGAGAATGTCTACAAACCATGCATGATATAAATAATTGCGAACAACATGCTGGCGAGAAACTGTTCAAATGGCTCAATTTTATCCACCATAACCCTCCCAAAACCATCTACGAATTTAATAAATTTGCTTAGACTATGCTCCTTCGCATTCACATGTGGCAACATGGTAGCGCTCATAGACACCCCATTCCCTATTATTTTCTATCTTCCCTTGTCCCAGTAATTGGGAAATGGTTTGTGCCAATTATAATTGTTCGTTTTCCATTGTTAAAGTATGCTAGGAATTGAAAGAACGCTCCTTTCCTAATGGGCACGTGATGTAGTATGAAAATGCCTATTGCCAATGGTTACCAACGGTCTACAGCCACGGTCTACAGATTTAAAATGTTCATAAAAATCGTATTTTTCAAAGAAAGTAGACGAAACCTCGTCAGTAGGTGTGCATGGCTAGTATAAAAAATATTGTAGGTTTTCAGATCGATACAAGTTGTAAAACTGAAGAAATTCAGGAAAGTGTCAACGGTCTACACTTTCTGAGAATTGAATTTGAAGTACTCTAGATCTTATTCTCCTTTTGAGTGTAGACCGTGGGATTTTCGTCATATTTTGCCGTTTTCTTCATGGAATTCATACAAAGGTTAATTTTATCTTTGAGGGGTATTATTATACACCTTTTGGGTGATTTTGGGGCAAACCTCCCCCTGACAAGTCAGAAAATTGCGAAGAAACAGCCACGGTCTACACAACGGTCTACAAGCGTTCATTTCCGAGGGTGAGAGTTGCCTTGCGGGGCCTTGTCCTTCACATCGACGCGCGCTACATTCGATGAAATAATATATTTTGTTGTGGCAAATGTCACGCAAACAAATACAGCAATCAATTAACGATGAAATAATCTGCCTTGCGCTTTATGAAGACAAAAGTAGCAGGTAGAGTCTAACTTAAAGGCCATTTTGGCAATGCAGTAACAGTAGAGAAGAGGGCTTTCTTTGTAGTGCTTCTGGGCCAAGCATTTAGGAGCGCAGGAAGGCGAGTGGATGTCAGTTTTATTTCAGTTCCCTTACCAACCAACATGGAATAGTAGATCAATCAGTTGGGAACTCTGATGTGGGAAACACGGGGTTCCTTTCTACAATTTAGGTAAACACTCTGAAATTTGTCATTTGGGCACTGAATTGCACAACAAGGGCCTATATGAATGACAACTTGTAAATCCGTGATAAAAGGAGAGCAACTACCCGACATAATTCTCAAATACGACCTTATCTATAATTAGAAACATGAAACAGAGGAATCGATGTCACTTTTATAAAATTGCATCCTTTCCATTTTTAGATTATTTTCTAGCTGCCACTCATATTTGTCTCCTTCATCTATCCCATTATTTCTTAGACAGCCATCTGGCTACGAGCCTTTGAAAAGATTCAAAATACAATCTTGATCCTATTTATTGGAAATCGATTTTGATTTTAGCAATTTTCACCTTAATTGAAATATGGCATTTAGTTTTATGGGGGTAGCTTACCCCCACCCCCGAAAAATAACAATACCCCCATATCTCCTTATCGGTAACACGTACGATGTTGAAAATGGCAGAAATGGAATCAGCACCATCAAAAACCTATAGGAGGATATTGATTTTGGTGGAATATCTAATAAGCTTCAAAATGAAATTCAGACAATGCCTGCCAAAAGTACTTGGAACACCCACCAATTTACGTTGCATTTGATATCTTTCATTTCTTTCATGAAAAAAATTTGCTACTTCCGCCCCCTTCCCCCTCAAACAATGTTGATGATTTAGAGAAATATCATAAATGAAGCGCAAAAGAAAGTGCTTCCTAAAATCCTAATCCGTTTGATGGTAAACCAACATTGTTCCGTGGGGGAGAGGGGGATGATTGGTTTTGACCTTGGAAATTGATGTCAGTGTTCCAAGACTTTTGGCAGGCATTGTAGGATTAGAAGCACATTAAAGGATGAGAAGACGAAGAATCGAAGTTGTTGGAGATTTCTTGGATTTCTTGCATAGCTACAGCGTAATTTTTATTTAAAAAAATTAGATGAAGGAACCATGGCTCTTGACTGAGTACACGTTATCGCTTACGCTACGTTACGCGTACGCGAATATCGCTTACGTTTGTTTATGTGTTAAGAGCCAGCTCTGACTTGGCTTTTTTCTGTCTTAGCTTTAAAAAAGTTCTGACACATGTATATATAAGATCCATTTAATACAGCGATGACATAAAGTTATGAGACTGCTTACATGCAATTAATTATAGAACTCTTTCGAAAGAAAAATTAGCGGGGTTCTCCAATTCGCCATTATTCACATCCTTTTAGTTTTTAGGTCATAGATAATTTTCGCACAAGGAATCTTTTATTTCATCAACATTCTTTGTAGTTTCTAATTTGATTAAACCCATTTGACTGAATTAAATAGTTTATACCTAAAAACAGATAAAGTGTGGCAATGCTTTGTTAAAAAACAACAGTTAAATTGCATGAATGATGAAAGGACGAGAACGCCTGTTGTATGCAAAATATGCATACAGCTTTATTTGATGTTTTGAAGCAAACCGAAATTTTTTACAAAACATGTCTCAAACACGTACTTTATCTTATTTTTGCAAAGACACTTTCTGAAAGTTACTTCTTCTCTCAGCTGAACCTTATCCGCTTCCCGCTTCTCCGCTTTCCCGCTTTCCACTTCTCCACTTCTCCGCTCTTCCGCTTCTCCGCTTCTCGCTTTTCCACTTCTCCGTTTCCTCTTCTCCGCCTCTAATTCACGAAACTTACTGCCAAAAAACAATTACGCTGCCGTTTTCAACGAGCTGGCACTTTCAACATAGGTAAATTAAAAACTGTTGCGGATTGACAGTGCAATTATTGAAGATTTATTTTTATTGCAGAATTCCTTATTGCAGTGTTTCTCGGTGGAATATTAGAAAATCCATTTTTAGCGTGAAAGGTCAAATGTGAGTAAAACACAATATCATCGAATTTTCAATGTAAGATACAATATCATCGAATTTTCCTTGGGAATTCCTTAGGCTCTCATAAGGCATTGATTTTGAATTGCTTATTTCTTCCCCTAATGATCAAGCTGTCTGTTCTTTGCCCACTTATCTCAAATATTGATTTACGCTTTGTTGCACATAATTTTTCTATTCTAACTAGCTTTTTGCATTCATCTTTGTCGTTATTTTTCTTAAATCATTTTTGGTATAGTGTGTTGCTCTTGTTGAAAGCAGGGTATGAGTTGTGAGCTTCGAATGATATTTTATTCTAGGTCTTCGAGGTTTGGTTCATTTGGATTTGTTGTTGGGCATGAAATGACGCATGGCTTTGACGATCAAGGTATGCCATCCATTTTAAGTGCCAAAATCCATTGATGTGCCATCCATTTTAAGTGCCAAATCCATTGATGTGCCATCCATTTTAAGTGCCAAATCCATTGATGTGCCATCCATTTTAAGTGCCAAATCCATTGGTGTGTTTTCCATTTTAAGTGCCAAAACCATTGATGTGCCTTCCATTTTAAGTGCCAAATCCATTGATGTGCCATCCATTTTAAGTGCCAAATCCATTGATGTGCCATCCATTTTAAGTGCCAAATCCATTGGTGTGTTTTCCATTTTAAGTGCCAAAACCATTGGTGTGCCTTCCATTTTATGTGCCAAAACCATTGGTGTGCCATCCATTTTAAGTGCCAAATCCATTGATGTGCCATCCATTTTAAGTGCCAAATCCATTGGTGTGTATTCCATTTTAAGTGCCAAATCCATTGATGTGCCATCCATTTTAAGTGCCAAATCCATTGATGTGCCATCCATTTTAAGTGCCAAAACCATTGGTGTGCCTTCCATTTTAAGTGCCAAATCCATTGATGTGCCATCCATTTTAAGTGCCAAATCTATTGATGTGCCATCCATTTTAAGTGCCAAATCCATTGATGTGTCATCTATTTTAAGTGCCAAATCCATTGATGTGCCATCCATTTTAAGTGCCAAATCCATTGATGTGCCATCCATTTTAAGTGCCAAATCCATTGATGTGTCATCTATTTTAAGTGCCAAATCCATTGCTGTGCCTTACATTTTAAGTGCCAAATCTTTTTGTGCACGAAATCTTTTTTCACTGTGGTGAATTTTGGAACTAGTTTGTATTCTACACACATTTTGCTATAAAATAAACAATTTTTAAAGCAATCGCCAAAACGTAATAATTCATCCTCAAAGTTTTTCGTCCAGAACAATTTGTCCAGATTTTTATTGGCGACCAAGAAACAACTATATTTAATGTAAGCATATTCAAAACCTTCATGTTGATATTCCTAGCCATTTCTAGGTCGCTTGTATAATAGCAGAGGAAATCTAAAAGACTGGTGGTCAAAAACAAGTGCTGCTGCATTTAAAACAAAAGCTTCCTGCATCCAGAGACAATACTCTTCATACAAATACCTCGATCTGCATGTAAGTACAAGAAATTCAGGAAATTTATCATTAAAGAACTGCTACGAGATTTTTCAAGCACACAAAAGGCTTACATAACTTTATTTTGCAAGTTTCTGCTACGTGGAAATTTTTACCTATGAGCTTATGAACTCGCCTGTTTTTGAAAAAGGTGACCTGTTAGAAGAATTTGCCGGGGTAGCAGTTCTTGAAATTGTCGCTGATTTTGCAGAATCGTGAAATTTGAAGTTCTTACTTTTTCAAGGTTAATGGCAACATGACCCTTGGTGAAAATATTGCTGATATTGGAGGCTTGAAAGTTGCATATAAGGTAACAATCTAGTCGTATCTCTCAGTATTCTTCATTTCTCTAACTCTTTTTTCAACTTGCTATTTGAATAAGCATAAGACATTTTTGCAACATCCCCTAATGAATTGCTTTTTTACTCATACCTTTAAAGCCATTCAAATATTTATATATTCATACCTTTATAGGCATTCAAAGAATGGGAGGAAGCAAATGGCGTAGAACCGAAGTTGCCAGGCCTTTCTCTAAATCAAGATCAACTGTTTTTTTTGTCTTTTGGGCAGGTAAATTGCCGTCTTATATGATATGTAGCATAATAAAACATGATAAGATATAACATAACAAAATATGATACGATATGTTACGAAATGATTCGATAAAATACAAAAGATTACGAAGCGTAAGGTGATATGATATAGGCAGTCTAACGACATACAATATATAAGAATGTTATTTTGAATAAGGTGATTTTTTTTTCATAGAAATTAATAACAATACAATTTTACATTGACTATACTACCCTAATCACTGTACTACACTACGGGGACGATACCACGAGGAGCGAAAGACAATGACTACCCCATGGCCGATACATAAAAACACACAACATAAACAAGGATAGAAAGAAAGATTACTAAAACTAGGTAGACTAATTACGAATACAGAGTAAACAGACAAAAAGTAGATGCTAATGTATAGAAGTGTGCAGCAATGGAATATTTAAAAGCGTTCTGAAGCATGAATGAACTTGAGCGTTGCCTGAAGTAGCTTCTTATTTGAGTCAATTGTTAGTCGCTCGTGACCATACAAAATGAATTTGACTAAAGCTTCATTTGAAAGAGATGAAAAACCACGAGGGAGCAATATTGCATTCACACTACTGAGAAGATCAGATCTAGACCGGCTATACGAATGACAGAGCAGCAGGAAATGTTCCGTGTCCTCTACCCCATCATTTGCAGGACACAAAGGGTTGAATGTATCTCTAAGGTTATGTCTATATTTATAATAATTTAGTTTGCTCAGTCCTACTTAAATTGCTCAGTCCTGCTTAAATTTCGTCGCAGCTTTGGTGTGGTTTATATAACGAGAAAAGAGGGAGAGAAATGATTCAAAGTGACGTACACAGTTTACCAGATTTGAGGTAATTATCGAGACAAGAAAGCGTCTTTTTCAAAGTGGTACAGTTTTCATTTCATAGTGATTCTTTTCAAACTTCAGTTGCTTCATCTTTTTTTTGATCTTTTTTTAATCAATCTCTATAACTATCCTCGCTTTGTCTCATCTCTCATTAGTACTTTTTTATATCAGAGAACTGAAATATGACACCGCTGTCTGGAATTTTTTCACTCAGACCATATTATAACAGATTCGCGCCTTTTTAGCTTTCCATCGTGTAAGAATTGCTGCTTTTTCTGTGCTGCTTCTGCTTTTTGCGGCTGAAGCTATCACAGCTTAAACGTAAGTCCATCTTCTATCATTATAGAGTTATCGGTCCACTTTCAAATATGGCTGAATTTTCTGATGCTTTCAACTGTCCAGCGAGTTCTCGAATGGTGAGGAAAGAAAGGTGTCAGATTTGGTGAATAAAAGAAAATGAAAAACCAAGCAGAAGCTTAATGTCAAGAGGACAGGAATTTCTGACGATCTGCTGTTTTTGACAAAGGTGCCCAGCGTTTGGTAGAAAAGACATTGCTCTATAAGATTAAGTTATTTTGAAAACTTTTGGTCTTAGAAGGTGTAAATCTGCAGATACACAACTAATATTGGATATAGGCAAACCAGACTGACATCTTACACGGCTTAAAAGCAAGAAGAAAAATAAAGTGATATTATTTCATTTCTTAGGTAGTCACGAGTTTTGGTATAATTTATATTCAATAAAATATTCTTTGATGATTCCAATGCACGTTAACGTATTGCAGATTTTAAATTTGATGCTGCTATAAAATTATGCTGTGATTGTACGAATGTAGAAAATTGGGCAAACGGCTACATAGGAAAATAAAATATTGTATAGAAATGTAATGGGAAATTGAAACAAGTTATTGAAGATATATTGTATTAGTTAATCATGAATGATTTTAATTTTGAGACTGCTACAATCCATCTTGATTTCGCTCAATCTGTATGACCGCAATATCTACATTTATCACTGCAATAAGATTCTGCCAGCACTGTTGAGTCTAGCTTCTGCATGGCCTTGACCAAATATTCAAGCCAAATTAACATCTGATAAAGCACGCATAAAGAATTTTCGCAAATTACTTGCCAAATGATCTCTTTGCTGGAGAAATCATTCTAACGGTCCTCTTCTGAACTGAACCCTGATTTAATCTTTTTTTGGATGGATTTTCAACTTTCAGGGTAGTATTGCATTAAATGATTTACAATGTTTTTGTAATTAAAAGTCCCATTTTAGGGTAATTGCTTGTAGCATGAGCCAAAATCAAACTTGACCCGCTATCAAAAGTATGAATAGGTTATGAAATAGCAAGACACGTAATCTTACAATTGTAATCATCGTTTAACTAAAACAGTCACCAGCATATTAAAGACTCATTGCTAACAATGGGCCTTTGCGAGCGTGGCGACGGTCCAAACAATGGCAGTAATTTTCTACGGATTAACAAAATTGATTTTAGACAGTCTAAAAATGCATTATGGGATGCTTATGGCTCAACGCAATGGCTCATTGTTAGCAATGAGTCTTTAACTTCTTCAAACAGGCTTTTAATCTCAATTATAAAGAAGTCATTGAGTGGGACATTTGGGTTTAAGGGCCCGTACACACTACTCCGTTTTCAAATGAAAATGGAATCAAACTCTTCCGTTTTTGTCTTGCGTTCACACTACTCTGCTATGAAAACGGAGTCGTTTGAAAAAGCTTATTAAAACGAATACTTTCGAATACTTCATATATAGAATATAGTATAGAATATATATTATAGAATATTTTCAGTGTGAACACCAAAAACGGAGAAATTTGAATACAATAACAACGGCAACAAAATATGTGCTTTCTAGCACACCAAATCTCAAAAATTTTGAAATTGAGAATTCATAATGGACTGGTAGCTGCTACAACAATGTTTTTCACGATTTGCTTTTAATTTCATTCATAATGACGCCAATTTGTTGAGGATTCGTGAACGCCTCTTTTCAAAAATGAGGCCACCAAACCAACAGCGTTTTTTTGGAGCAGTGGAACACTTACCGTATTCAAATCGTATTCATTTGAAAACAGATAAGTGTGAACGGACATCGTTGGGATCAACGAAAACGGAGCGAAACGAATACGGAGTAGTGTGAACGTAGCCCAAACACCTTTATGAAAGCACTGCTCGAGAAGGTGTTTACCAATTTGAAGTCTTTCACAGTGGAATCCTGAGGTCAGAAATAGCAGAATGTTAAAGAGGAATACAATACTTGCTATTAATGTCGAGCATACACACCAAAGCATGACAATATTTAGTTGTTTTAATAAAAAAAAGCTGTTAAAGGGATTGGAAAGCCATGGCCTATTATGTCCTCATTCTTACGGCCAGCAAAAGTAGCTTAATTCGAATTCGAATTTTCCAAAGATAATCACATAGTCTGTTTTGATGATGAAAGCTGGCATTCCACTTCTTCATGGTTTGCTATGCATATACGTTCTTCTCACATCCTAACTGCATTGATTTAAAACAGTTCAAATGTCAGTAAGACACAAAAGCAAGAAGTCAGCCACGCAACATTATTGTGGCAAGATCTCCTTGCAACATCATGCATTCAGATCTTGTTTGCTGGTGAGTAAGCGAATTTTATGATGGTTATCTCGTTACAATGATGATTGGGTGATATCTTGATCAAGCTGTGTGTTACAATGATGATTGGGTGATATCTTGATCAAGCTGTGTGACTCGTCTATTAATTTTCTAAAACTATTGTAATACCATATAACTTTAGACTGATACAGAATACTCTGAGTTTCTCGATACAATTTTTCGTGTGATACTGAATCAAATACTTAATAGTTAATATCAACTTAATCGCCTTTGTCCAGACTTGAATTACAGCTCTCGAATGCTTCAAGAAGGATTTCAAATACAGATGATCTGAGGTTTGAAGTCCATGACAACAATTCAAACTTATCTATGGTGTCAAAGATATCTGATTATTCTTCTTATAATGCCACACACACAATCGATGCTACGCAGAATAACTGGCCTGCGCATTCCTTTCATTTTTGCTCTCTTTTTATAAGAAGTAGTAAAGCTTCAGGTTTCCATACTTCATGAATGTATCAATTCATGAATAAATTTACCAAATTAATTCACTTTTTAGTTTCAAATGCTCCAAACTGATTCGGATGTTTTCAGAATAAAGACAAATGAATACAAACTATCATCGAGAATCAAATGAGATAATGGAATCAAGTTACGAGTGGAACTCAACTAAAATCAACTCTATCAACAATAATAATATACAGTTATTCAAAAACGCACTTCATAATATATTTCAATTTGAAAATCCGTATGCTGCTATAGGACGTGGCAAAACTCAGCCAACTCAGCACGAGTTTGCGCATTCCTTTGTGAAACGACATTTCATGTAGATGCGTCAATGCTTGCTGTTAGGTTTCGTTGGCCATTTTCTATTCTTTATGATATCCAAATAAATTATATCTTTATGTATCTATTACCAATGTTATACCGCTGATTCATATTCCGAAAGTAGGCTGTCAACAGTAGGAGACACAACAGTGAAGATACTGCACAAGCTGTGCAATGTAATACTAAAAACAAAGAAGTGGCCAAGTTAATAGGCAAAGAGCGTACTCATCTCTTCCAAAAAAGTTTAATAACAATAAGTTTAATAAGTCACGCATCAAAGGTTATGTTGAAGATCATCCAGAGAAGGATAACACCAATGATAGTGGAAGTGACAGCCAAGTAGGCTTTAGGAGCGGAAGGAGCACGCTACAACCGATAACAACATTAGGAATTCTAAACGAAAAGGCAAGGGGTATCGGAAGTATGATCTTTCACAACTTCATAGAATTCCGTAAAGCTTTTGACAGAGTCTGGCACGATGCTCTGTGGAATACTATGGGGAAATACAACATTGGAAAAGGCGTAACAGAACAACTAAAAAGCTTCACGACAAAGCGAGATCCAGGATCAAAAATGACGACCAATTCATTGACTGGTTTCGGACAACAGTAGGAGTACGTCTAGGCTGCTTGCTGTCATCAATCTTACTCAATCTGTTTCTGGAGAGAATTTTGGAAGAGACGTTGGAAAGGCATGAAAGCGGAGTTAAGTGCGGAGGAAGAACAGTAACGGACTTGCGTTTTGCTGATGACATTGACTCACTAGAACAAGATGAGCTAAAATTGAGAGAAATAACAAGAAGACTTGAAGAAACGGCATGGAAAAGAGATATGGCATGGAAATCAGAACGGAAAAAGCAAAGTGTTGGTGGTTGGCAAGCGGGAGCACACGGAGAAGCAGACAGTGAATGTGAAAGTGGATGGAGTGCAGTTTTTAACAGGTAAACAACTTCACGTACTTGGTGTCTAGAATTGGTTACAATGGCAAGTCTAAAATGGAGGTTAGAATAAGAAAAGGCAAAGCAGCCAGTGCACTTGCCAAACTGGATCACATCTCGAGAGCGAGGAATATCAGACTGGCTAACAAATTACTGTTGATGCGATCTGTTGCAGTAGCAACGCTACTATATGCCTGTGAAAGCTGGACACTGAGTAGGAATGATGAGCAGAAGCTAAGGGCCTTTGAAATGAAATCTTATAGAAGATTGCTGGGAATTACTTGAAAAGAGAAAAAAACGAACGAGTATATTTTGCAAGAGGTGAAAGGATTGCAGGTCAGAAGCTACAAAGTTTTGTGGAAATGGTCAAAAGAAGGAAGTTCTTTGGGCACACGGTACGGGGAGAAGGCTAGAGCAGTAATGGAAGGCAGAATGGAAGGAAAGAGAGGTAGAGGAAGACCACAAGGAAACTGATTTAACAACTTGAAAGACTGAAGCGGGATGTCTGGAGCAGATCTTAGCAAAATGGCAAAGACCCGGGGGAGTTGGCACGTAGCTTTCTGGAAATGGGTGCACCCATGGCCGAATCGGCTAAGGACTTGATGATGAGGCCGTCAAGACTCTGCTATAAAACAAGCAGTAAACATACCCTAGGATAAACCAACAAAACTTTATCTAAAACATGATAGCATGCTTACATATCTGCGAACAAAGAAAACGTTTATGTAGAATAAAGCATATCTTCTGTCAGTAAAGATGTCTAAAAACTACGCTTCATGGGCTTTTTCTCGTTCATTTCTTCGTCTTGTGTCTCACTTTCAAATACTTTGCGAAACCACGCTTGTCGATCTGCCTTTCCTGTATCCCTTACTCTACGATTTCGGTCTTGCAGAAAATAGTGCACAGCAGGTCTTGGGTCGAACATGGTCAAGACCGGCAAATTCATGTTGACATAAAATAGTTGTTTATTGCTTCGCATAGAAGAATGTTAGCCAGGCGTAGTTTTGGAAGAATAGCAGCAGTTACAGATTGGTATTATATAGATCAAGAAAACAAACATCATATTGCGTTAAAGAATATGCAATATACAGTAAGGCTATGTTTTTGACAGTTCTTAGACACATTGAAATATGTAACAAGATTAGAGATCTAGTCTCTAAATGACAGCTTTTTATGAAAAGAAACAGCTAGAAACAGTTGATTTGCCTTTGAAGGATCAATGAATACCTAAATTACAAACACAGTAAATTGTATTCCACTTTGTTTCCCCAATTCCCAAAGAATACTATATTGACTCCATAGGGTGGAAGTGAAGAAAAACTTTCCCGTTATCAGGTTTGCTACTCTGTTTTTTGTCAGCTTTGATACTTTCTGGTAAGATGTATACATAAACAGTAGTAGCAGTGGTTCGGCTAAATTACACTGAAAGTATCCCTGAAAATAATTTAAAATTTTTGTTCCGTCCAAAATAGGTCCAGTCAAAACTTAGCCACATCCTAGCCACACCCTGTGATTTACGCTGTTTTGCGCAGTGATGAAATCCCTCAAATTAATGCCTGCATTTTTGAGGGGGCTAGCCACGTGTCAGCCCCATTGTTTTCAGTTTATACTCAGTTCCAGGTATAATTTTTGGGCTTCACATCTTTAACTCTACAACTTGCATGCATGAAACAAAATCTGCATATTAACCCTATCTACGATAATTCTCAGGGTACTATTGCATTACAATTTAGCATTATTTCGGCTTTACCCAATTTTTACGCGGTTATTTGGCTTTAAGAAAAATATTGCACGGGTTTACGATTTTTGCGAAAATTTCATGCGGCTCTACGGTTTCCGGACCCCCAAACACCCCTTCTTGTAGGTTTGTTATGACTTGCGGAACAAAATGCTCCTTCGGCTCGACTCATAATTAAAGAGAGACGTTTCGCGCCTTGTTGTTGTTGATTTGATTCATATCAAATCAAATATGGCGGGTCATAAGCTTCGAGACATGGCGGGAAAGGATTTTGATGAAGAATTTGAGAAGTTTATGAACGAGGTACACAAATTTCAATCAAGAATTATATTACGCCTTTTTAATACTTTATTTAGAGCTACCACCATAGTAAGTTTGTGCCTTTTTTGATACATATTTTATAGTAGGCCTAATTGTGTTTAACCAATGTGTCTACCGAAATATTTAGCTAAATCTAAGAGCATATAATTTTTCAATCACGAATAGTATTACGCCTTTTTAATACTTTATTTAGATCTACCACCATAGTAAGTTTGTGTCTTTTTTGATACATATTTTATAGTAAGCCTAATTGTTTTTAACCAATGTGTCTACCGAAATATTTAGCTAAATCTAAGAGCATATAATTTAACTGAAATAGTCATTCATTTGTTGTTAGCTTAGAGGGCGATTGCCTCTCTAGCCACATACGCGTATTCCTTTTTAAAGAAACTGGTATAGCCCTACTTTAAGTTTACGAACAATTTCTCTTCCTCAAGCATTGAATGGAAATATTGTACACTAGGGTATCAAAAGTATTGCACCACCTTGTTCAAAATAGCGGCACTTTTTGCCAACTTTTTGACAATACAAAACATTTGAATGCATGAATTGGTTAAAATTACCCCCTTTTTTAGCCAGTTTCGGCGGAGAAAATTTGTAAATTTTGCTTACACCATAGAAAACTTAGTTAGAAATGTATTAATTGTGCAAAAACATTTTTGTTTCTAAAAATGTAGACCATGCCTATTTTTAATTGTCAAATTGTCAGGAAAGCAAAATTGTCAAATGAGAGGTGAGTCGATATAAATTATTTAGGAGGAAGAGGTCTTTAAATGTTGACAAAGTTAGATACAGCCGCATAACAGCTGTTGAAAATCAAAAAAGATTTCTTTAGAGTGTTACAGTAGTAAAGAAACCAAGAAGTGGTTGACCAAAAGTAATTTGATGTTAGAGGGGAAAGAATTTGTCTGTTTTATTTCACTGCGTTTACACCCAAGGACCATAAAAGACATGGAACTCGACACTGAGCAAGGTGTTGCAGCTCAAAATCCGTCCAAAGAAAGATAATGTGTGTTTTGCATAAATATAAAAGAAAAAGTTACCTGAGTAAATGGAAACCATTTTTGAAAAAGAATTACTTCCAAAAAAAAGAAATTAAAGCTTTTCTAAATATTGAAATATGAAACTGTTAAAAAATGTTTGCTAGTGTCATTTTTCAAACAAATGCTCTAAATAGATTGAAGTTTTGATTGGTGGTTGTTTTGCTTTCGATCAATTGCCATTCGCACTCTTAAAAAACAGAATTAATTTGCATAACAATAGCTTTCGATCATTAATGCGCCATTTCACCTCCTTGGAGGTGATGCAATACTTCTGATACCTTAGTGGATATCGGTGGCTCATATTTTGCCTTAAACAACAATAATATGTAATTGGAAAGAACAATCAGAAAAGATAAATTTGTAAACTGCTTTTATATATAGCACAGGGGGCACATGGAAGCAAATGCTTTGCAACAGTGCTGCAAGGGCACTACAACCTACTGTATGATTTCCAGCACATTTGGAGGGAGGACTTAATAACCTGCTATCCTTACCCGTGGATTTTATTTTTTTTAATCTTGAAGCTATGATTGATAAAACACAGATACACTCATATAGAAAATTTCATTTAGGGGGGGGGGGGGGGCCTAAATTTTATTCTGAGGGGTTTTTTTTCTTTTCATCTCAGAGAAGGGAGCTTGGCTCCCCTCTGTCTTAAGGCCAGCTCTACATTATATTCCAGTTTTGAATTTTGCAAGTTTGAAAACTGGAAAAGAGATATTGGAAAGATACATTGTTTGCTATGTGCATTGTCGTATTTATGTTATTTGTCTACATATATTTATATACACATATGTTTTATATTGAGACTAATAGATCTTTCTAAGATAATTTCTTTGCAAAGAAACCTAGTAAAATTGCTTCCTTTTTTATACAATTTCTTCATATTCTCCACATGGAAGATCAGAGCCAGCTTAAAGCTTGCAATGCTAAAAATAGTTTTTTTTGCAGCCAATGTCTGATGACTCCCACTCAGTGATGTCTCCTCGACATAAAAGAGGACAAGGCATTGAAAGATCACAAACAATAGAGTCAGTGAAGGCATCTGATGAGTTCTCTCTACCTGACACAAGAAGTTTTGACAAATCTCCTTCTCCAGTTGAAAAGAGGCCATATGATAGCATTACTGAAGAAAATGAATCATATTCAGTCAAATATGAAAAAGACAATGATAATGAAGATAGCAAGGTAATTTGTAGAAATGGCATTGTTTTCCACTGTTTTATTTTTCGTTGACAAGCTAAACGGCTCCTAATCTTGAGCAGCAAACATTTGATATCAAACTTTCAGCTGAAGTCTGTAAGTTTAAAGCAGTCAAAGACGTTTATCATTAAACTTTCTCAAATTTTAAATGCTGCTTCTCTAGGTGCTGTCAGCATTAAAAACACAGGATGATGTCAAAATCAGTAAAGACAGCCTAGAACATGGTAACTCAACTTAAGAAATATCTTTGTCTTGTTTACTTTCTGTGGATTTCATGATTAAACTTGTGGGGCCTTGTTGTCTGATTTCAATGTATATACTTTACCTGGGGTACCACCCTAAAAAGTTACAAAGGGGGCTGTGCTTTAGAGAAATGTCTCATTCATGGAAAGTCACCATCATAATAAAGTGTCAACTGAGATTGCCAAGTAGAAAATTTGCCCAACCAAACATGTACTGGCTTGTTAATGGCGTTTTCTATAACTGCTTGTTTCACAAAACTTTCTGGGAAAACTTGGCTTGAACATTTATTTTCTTGGTAGCAAGTGGCTAAACCTGAAGTATGTATAAAGGTAATGGGAATAAACCTCTATATAATGTTTGCAGCTGTTATGATGCAAGTATTGTTTGCTGTGTATTTTTTAATACCCATTTCTAATACCCAAGTTGGACATACCCATTTTTGATAGGGTTCATCAATGAGAGTTACTCTGCAGCTGAAACAAGTAAAACTGATACAATGCAATTAGTGAATAAGTATGCAGACCAAACTCTTCATGGAATGGACACTCTAGAAGAAATGGCTGACAAAGAACAGTTTTTTCGCAAACTTGCTGCTGACGTTTCTGGCACCTTGGACTTCAGCCAGCTAAACAAAGCATTGGATGAGACAAACTCAGATAAGGAGGCAAGGTCAGAAGAGTTTTGAAATTTGATTTTTGTTGTAAAAGAATGATTTTTCTTTCTTAGGACTGGATCATAATGCTTTTAATATTTTGAATGGTTACCATTGATGATTTTTCAAGACTTCATTTTGAGACTTGTCTATAAATGATGGCAATAGATTTTGTTTAATTGGTACTTTCGTGATAGGAAGTAATCTCAAGCCAGATATTAACATCCCCCACATTTTACTGTATATGGACTGTTAACTAGCCTGTTACTTCGTCTGGATCAAACATAGATGCAAAGATAGTCATTTGCCATTTTGGTCATTCACAGAGTTTGATAGTTATCAACTTTTGCATGTCAAGCAGTTTGTTTTTGAATTATTGCTTGTACATAAGACAAACCATGAAATCACTCCTCTAAGTTGAATATCAAGGTTTGAATCCCCCCTCCTCCCTGCAATCCCCCTCCTCCCTGCAATCCCCCTCCCCCTGCAATCCCTCCTCCCTTGCAATTTCCCCCCTGCAATCCCCCTCCCCCTGCCCCCCCTCCTCCCTGCAATCCCCCCTCCCCCTGCAATTTTGCTTTATTTTCTCTCTATTATCCTCTTCGGCCTTTACAGATGCTAGAAATGAAGATAATTACCAAGAACTCAAATATTCTGATCATCCTTCAGTAAATTGTGTAAGCACTATCCCTCTTGCCTAGACAAAAGTTCATTTAAATAGCGTCATTTGCAAAATAGGAAATGATTAAAGTTTCAGGATTTGGACCTGGATAATGATGGCATCTCGAGTATTTCAATCCCATATCTTAGATAGATTTGGACTCCAATCGCTATCCTCTTTCCATTAACATTTGTCATGTAAGTTGTTTAAGTTCAAGGTTACCGCTATCTTCAATAAACTTTATGGATGTTCCCTTAGTAGTTAACGGTTCCTATATTTAGGCAAAAATACTGTTGCCATAAATTATTGAGGGGATTTTTTTGCCTGAAAGTGATGACATGGCGGCTTCAGGACCAGACATAACTTCAACAGCAAGACATGATATCCACGCAAGCAAAGAAGTCAATCGTTTATCAGGTAACCCAAGTAAATGTATTTGAAGGCTGTTCCCTCTGTGCGGTATGGGCATATTTTGGCCTGTGTTCCATTTCAAGTTAGGGCCCTGGAGCACAGGCTAGCATTTTCTGTTTATGCATATACCCATGCTCTCGAGGGCTGCGCAAACATTTGAATGGCAACATGTGGACTGTGCAAACATGTAGGTCTTTCCTTTATTTATATTATTGGGATTGCAACAGAAAGGTGAGAAACCTTTACATTTATCTTAATTTGTGAGAAACTGATCGGTAATTCAAAAGAGTGTGTTTGGAATGACACTGAAGAGAGCTTCTGGAAAACTTTTAAATCTACCTCTATATTATTTAGTTCTTAAACAAAGGTGACTATCAGTTGCTATTAATTTGGAGTGACGTAACCATCTGCCATCAACTTGACTAGTTAAATGCATACTCTTTTCATTTTAGGACTGCAACAAAATGACGAATTTATGCGGTCCACTGGGCCAAAAAATTACGAGGTAAGTAAGATTCTTTTTTATGCATCGAAAATCATCTTGCTAGCAGAAAATTTATCTAGAAGTCATGTTGAGGTCATTGGTGATGATCAGCCATTTTCGGGTGTATTTTTCATCGCAGATTGCTTACCTATTTGCTTGGCCCTTAGTTGGGCACTGTTGTTTTTTATATAACTTTATTGAAGATGTGGTACACTTTTTTCTTCTGACTATTGAATCATGAAGCAAGAAATCAGATACTTATTTAGTCGATATTCCCAAAAGTTTGATATCATCCAATCAGCAGTAGAAAAAGCAGTAGGATATTATCCAATCAAGAAGGTTTTCAACTTTGCAACTAAACCCTTCTTGACTTTGTATTGATTGAAGCCCGCTATGGCGCTAGTTGGAAGCCAATGCAACTTTTCGCTTGGTCTTGCAAATTTTCGTTTACCTTAAGGCAGATAAAGTCTTTCTTATGAAAATTTGTATCGATAGGCGTACCGTATGGAATTTCGTTTGCTATTGCCGTTAGTCGGTAATATATAACTATTGAGATAAATGGGCGCACATGTTCGGTATACTTTGTATAGGGTTGATCAAGTACACAAGCAATGTAAATTGAGACATATATTATGTTTGTCTTTTACGATTTTGCATTAACCACGTGACATGTCTTGAGTATCATTACGCGTTCTGTTTCCTCCTGTTCAATTTTTCAATAGGAAGAGCAAATGGTTCTACAGGGAGGAACATTGAAAGGTGCAAGTAATCGTTTTCTCGCCAAAGGTATATATAAAAATCTGTAAAATTTTTTACGTATTTTAATTTAGCACAACTTTACCGATCAATATGCTTGTTTTGGAATTCTCATCTTGAATATTTAATATAATCTCAATTTATTTTATTGTCCATCTGCAGTTGATCTGATGGATTCGCTGGCATCTTCGGCTGTAATCAATAATGCCACAGTTTCGTCCGGAAATATCGAGCAACCAGGTTCGATGCATTTACCCTCATTCGTATTCTCTTGAGAAAATTGCTAAGAGGATTGTTAACTTGTGAATTTAATCGCATAAAGCTGCGTCATTTGCCCATTATATAGTTTTTAGAGTTTTAGTTCCTATGTTCTATCTTTAAAGATAAATCTTTTAGGTCTTATAGAGATAGAAGGACTGGGTGCAGAGAAAGATGGAATTCATTCCAACGAAGCAAGTAAACGTTCTGACGAAGAAGGCATTAGAGGTGAAAATTTTAGCTACTGTTTATTTTTGTGAGGAGACGTGTCATAAATGGCATGAAAGAAGGCGCTGATATGCGGTAGTGCCTTGGGGAATGATCTGATAATTGATTTAAGCAAATTAACCATTGAAAGTTACATGTTTAACTATTCATGCAAAAGATTTCCCAACAAACCTCGGCGCTGATAAACTGATCGTTTTGCAGATCTTGATGAAGAAAAGTCATGTGATTCTAGACTGTCGGGTTACAGTAGTGATTCACCGCCTTCAGAAAGTTTGAGAAGCATAAAGGAAATCGCAAAGGTTCGCATCGAAAAAGCTAAAGAAAAGGCGCTAGTTAAACCTCCGGAAAGCATGTCTTCGGAGGTTGGTTCTGGCAAATCAAGAAGTAATTCAAAGAAATATGCTAGAAGAGATCTATCCCAGGATTCTAGGAACTCTTCTTCAGGTTTAGTTCTCCATTAGATATTTTATGTCATACACGAGATTTCTAATAAAAGCACTTTTGTTTCTGTTTTGTAAAAACCTATAACACAACGAGATTTCTAGTCAAAGCTTTTGTTTCAGTTTATTAGAAACCATAAGGATAAGAATTTCGCATTACATTCAGTTTTCTATCCATCTAAACTCGGCAGTTAAATTGCAACATTTCTTTGCTTATATAAAGGACTGAGTGGCAAGAGTGAAAAGCTTATGAAATCAAATGAAATTCGCAAAAGAACTTTAAAAGGATCAGTGTCTTCTGCAAATTCATCAAGAAAGGTATTGATTGTGTAGTTTCAGTATTAAGTCACGAAAATTCTTGAAAATGCTTTTTTGCTTTGAAAGCTGTTTAATTTGTTTTTATGCTGCTTATAAAGGCGCACTTTTTCTGCCATTGTTAATTATTTTTGTGGTTTTTTTGCCGCCTGTGTATTTATGAACTTTCTGCCTTGAGATGTCTCTTTTTACATCCGAGGGAAGTATGGACGGTGACCTGGCTTTTGATTCGACGAATAAATCCAGTCAGCCGACAAAAGCTAAATCAAGTTTTTCGAGATTGCCATCAGGAAAAAGATCGGAGAACATTTCAAGCGATTTGTCACGGCTCCCCAGATTTAAAAAGCAATCGCTGCACGAGGGAGGTATCAGCCCTAACCTTTTGTTGATTTTGCTAATATCTTATTTCGTCTCATCAGTACAGCTGCCATACAAACTATTCTTCAGTTTTCTTTTCCTGTTAAATTATTTGTTATTTGCAACCCCTCATTCTGTACTTTTACAGAACCGAGTTTTTTGCCTGTGAAGGAACAGGAACTACCTCATTACAATTGTCTTAAATGTTAAATTACTTGTTGACTAATTGTGCATGCAGCAATTGTTACACATTATTTCTATAAATTTCAAGCCAATGAAAATGTTTTTGGCTAGCCTCTTAAGCTGCTCGATCCATGATGCATTTTATCAATTACTTTTACATGTGTAATAACTTAAAATTTTTAAATTCTATATTAATAGTACCATTCCTCTTATAGTTTCCCTTGCATTATTCTACGCAAAATGCAATTGATATTTGCTGATTGTGATTGTAAACAACTCTATGCCTAGAATATCCTGCTGATATAAAATGAAAATTTCTTCATTTGAGTTTCTATATATGATTGTGTCAATATTTTCTATTTTTGACCTTGTTTATCTAATCGTGTAGAAGCGCTTTCAACAAGAATCGCAGAAATAACGCGAGAACGTCAGCTACAGACAGAACTATACGAGCTTCGAGCCGAGTTCAATAAATTATTGGACGAGAATGAGCAATTGCATAAAGAGGTTGATAAATTGAAACGAGTCTCAAATGAAAAGGAGATCAGACTGCGTCAAGAATTCGAAACAGAAATGCTACAGCAAAAGGTTGCAACATTGGAAAAGCAGCTGAAAAAGGCACAAGAGTTGAGAATCAGGCGAGATAGTGATGATGATATAAATGAGGTGAGCTAAACACAGTTTGAACAAAAGCAACAAACAGCACTAGGTTTTGTTGTCATAAAGCCCAAGCATCATAAGCCCAAACGGTTTTGTTATCATAAAGCCCAAACAAGTGCTCTTGATATTTATTTCAAGACTGAGATTTGCTACTATTCTGTCTTTATTTTGACTGTATCAAAATGAATTGTATTTATCCTCTATTCGCAGAGGATTCTCAGGGAAGATCATGATGACATTATTTAGTCAAGCTTAACTTCTGGATAGTCTGGATAAAGGCAAAAAACAGGAACTTCATTTCATAAAGATTGGCTTTGCACAATTCCTTTGCATTGCTTTCTCTAAAGGCATGATCTCCTTATCTCTTCAAACAGCATTAGTCCGAGACTCTGATTCTTCTTTTTTTAGGCCAGCTCTTTAACTGCTTGCTTTGGAAATGATTTTTAATTCTGAAAACATTTTTGCTGTTAGAAAATTTGGAATTACAGCAGCTAGATCTTTTGATAGAAATTTACTAAATTTAAATTTTTTGGTTGTGTTTAATTGAGCAGGAAAGATGGCTGTTACTGCGATGATTATTGGTGAATAAACATTATATACAAGGAGATTCAGCTAGTATTGATATTGGTTGAATACATATGCATTAAATTTTGTTTTGAAAAAGGGAGCATCAAAAGAAATAGAGCGATTGCGGAAGGAAATCAAAGAGCAAGAGTTGTTATTGAATGGCTATCAGTTAGAAAATGAAAGACTTTTTCAAGAAATGAAGAAGAAGGAAAGCGAGAAGAAAACCTCACAGTCAAATTTAATTGAAGAGAATCGAAGGCTGAGTAGGACAGTTTGTTAATCTTTTGTCTGCTAATCTTCCGCTTAATCTTGTTACTGTGCAACTCTATAGTTAATTAATAGAGAGTGCGGGAAAATAACCAACTCGAGCGAGGCTCAAACTCACGACCCCTGACTTTGTACGTCAAGTGCTCTACCGCTGAGCTATCGGGTCGTGCTTTCAAGCCAATACCCAAGGCCGGTCATTCACCCGCACTGTCCCTCTCTTTTACCAGATACACAGGGGAGCCATCGCAGCTCCATCACAAAGTGCAGAGGACTTGAAGAGTGAGAGAGGACTGCCCACACCAGGGGGGCCATCGCAGCCCCAACACTGGATAGGGTTGAAGAGAAAGTTTAAAGACAACAGAATTTATTGAAGATGCGAAAAGACGTCTATAGTTCTTAAAACGTCTTTCGCATCTTCAATTAACAGCAGAAAGGCAACTCGTGTCACGTTTGATGACAGCAGAAAGTATTCTTATACTGCGTATTATTCTACCATTGTCATAAAAAGTTACTCTTCTTCTATTCTCTCCTGCTTTGCATAAATACAGTGGGACCTCTAAAATCGGCCACTTTTAGGGGCAAAGCTTAATGGCTGTTGTTTCAGAGGTGACTGCTATGGGGAGGTTTTTTCCCAATTTTTTATCAGAAACAAGTCGGAAGAAGGAAGAGGGGTGATTAAAGCAATTTATACACTTGTTTCACTTATGTTACAAAGACATGATCTACGATATCATGCGCTGTCACTGAATACAAATAAATTTTTGGGGTGACTTAAGAATTGAAATACCTCTGATGTATCAAGCAAGGGGTCATAAAAAGGCTTGCACTGGCTGAATAAAATGTATAAATTGCTCGTTGATGAACTTGTCAGAAAATTGAAAAACTAATGATTTTTAAAAAATATACATACTTTCTAAACATAACCGAATTTTTTTGTATCTTTCTTTAATTTCTTTGCAAAAAGTTACCTGCTTTACCGTTAATGGAAGTGAAATAAGGCACCAAGGCACTCCAAAGAGGCTGTTGATTGGAGGTGGTCGCTGTGTGGAGGTTTTTGTGTGAAAGTTTTACTATGAATTCAGCAGAGACTTTATTCACCAGCCGCAGATCTGGAGGTGGCCGTTACACAGAGGTGACCGGTATAAGTGGTTTCATTAATACCGGTCACCTACATTAGCCAGGGAACAAAATGCATATCCGCTTTTTTAAAGCCAGTTCCGTGTTTTCAGATGATACAAAATTTGATTCATGTTATTATTACCATAAAAAAGGAATGTTTATGAGGAAAACTTCTTCCCTTTTCTCTTTGCCTGATAAACCCTTTTGTTTCTTTCAAAATAGAAAGTGCTATGGCGGAGAATGAGCTGAAGCGTGACCGGCTATCGAAGCAAGTTGAAGAGCTACATCGTGAGATCGAGCAATTGAAAGCTGCCAGAACCAAGGGGCGAAATGTCTCGTCAAATGAATTTGTAGAGAAGCTAAAATCGGCTGAAAGTGAAAATGTGATGTTGCGCAAGGAAATTTCGGCCTTGAAAGGGAAGACAGATAATGACCATCACCTGATCAAGGATCTAGAGAGACAAGTACTTATACCAAACATTTGCCATTTTCATAACGTCTTAACTGCTCAGGTTCAGCGAATCTAATTGCGTCACCAAAAAGACATACGTTTTATTGATATTAAAAGTTTTTTGGCGTTTTCAAATTTTAAAATGGTTTTGAAAAAGCAAACAAAGCATGCTGAAAACTTTTTCTTCCGACACTTCTCAGATTATAAAACGTCAGAACAACGTTCCGAAAGAACAAGAAGAAAAGTAATTACTCTGTTGTGGAACAAAATAGGCCAATCAGAAAAATGCGAGCACATGACCGGTATAGTTGTCCATTCGGTACCGCTTAGCTTTAGGGAAATCATCAACTTCTTCTGTCTACACAATAGCGGCTTTTCGTATTTCAATAGATCGACTTCAAAACCGCTAGATGGAAAGGCGACCAGGCTCTGCCAATTATCTAAAACATGTCGACATAGGCACAATATGGGTTAACTAAAAGATGTTGTCAAGTGGCTGAATCACTTGTTTTAACGGTTTATCTAGCCCTACAACACGCTCGCATTTTTCTGATTGACCTATTTTTCTGATTGACCTATTTCGATCCACAATTGGGCATTTATTTTCCATTGTGTTCTTCCAGAACCTTATTCTGACGTCGTATAATCTGAGCAGTGTCAGACGAAAAAGCTTTCAGTATATTGTAAAATGTTTGCTTTTTTCAAATCCATTTTTATTGATATCTGCAAAGTCAGTCTTTTCCTGTGACAATAGCTTTGTGAAAATGGATTTTCGCATATTTTTGCTTTGCTCGTTCCACAAGTTCGATAGCTTCTACTCAATTTTCTTCAATTTTTCCTTTGCAGCCTTATGCAACATCCGCGAGAGCCAAAAGTAGGTAGTTATTAATGGAAAATTGTTTCCTGTGTTGTTTTTTAGAGAAACGAAATGGAAAAGATTATTAAACGTCGATATCCAGATGGAGTACCAGACCTGCTGCAAGACTCACGAAACGAACAAAGACATAACGAAGATAGTGCATCGAGAGCGATTAATTTCCTTGAAAGTAAGTTGAAACGTCTTGAAAAAGAACTCGACAATAAGGACGAGGAGACCAGCAGGCTTTTGTGCAATGCTGAACTAAGATACAAAGACATGGCAAAAAAATATGAAGGGCATATAGAGGATTTGCAAAAGCAACTCATTGAAATGAAAAGAAAAAAGTCCCCCAGCAGAGGTGCAGTAGCCAAAGAGGAGAGGGTACGAGGTTTTACTCCTGGAGACGAAAGAAAAGACTTTGAAGCTGAAAAGTCGAACAGAAAGGAAGATAAAGAGAGAAAACGCCGCAGGAAAGAGGAAATTGATTTACTTCAAACCAGTGAGAGAATGGAGACCGACAGGATTAGGGGAATAGAAAAGGATAATTTTGATATGAAATTAGCTATAGAAGATTTACGAATGAATTCTGAGAATGATATGGCGAGACATTTAACTATAAAGGCACGTATGGAAGAGGAGTTCAATCGGATTCGTTTAGACTGTAGGGCAGAAATTGAAGACATGAAATTAAGCAATTTGAAAGAACTGAATAGGTTAGAAAGTGAAAAAACTGAGATAGAAAATTTAGTGAAAAATTTGCAAAAAGATAACACAAAGCTGCAAAGAAATGTTGCTGATCAAGATATGATTATTGAGAAACTGAAGCAAAAGCTTTCACAGTCAGGTGTCGATAAAGAGCTTCTACATGCTGCAAAGGTAGGATTTCCATATTTCAGCCCTATTTAAAGCAAAATACAATCTTTGGTTTTCAAATCATCTTTTTATACTATTGATTGTTTTCAACATTGTCTAAAAGTCAATTGTTAATACTACTAGAGCAAAACAAAAGATGGTGTGATTATGTTTTGTTGGGGAATGTTTAAGCCAATTGAGAACTATGATTATCCTATTTTAAATAAGCGCTATGAATGGTTAGCTTATTGTACTATTTGATAAGGCCATCGAATCTAGTTATACCAAACATTAAAGGGAAACCAACGATGTAGCTCGTTACATAGGAAGCTCGTTAAACCGAAGGAAAACTTTACTACGAAACATGGCGAAGGTGGTTTGATATGCTTTTACTTGGTGGTTTGATATTCTTAGAATTGCGCAAGTAGTTTTGATACATTTAGCTAGTGACCACAAGACAAAATGAGATGCCTAAAATTTGAAAAACTTTATACTGAACCGTAGATGTATGGGGTTTCAGTAGTGACGATCACCATATCCAAAGCACTAAGACTTTAAGCAATGCAACTCTGCACACGTAAACCAAGCCAACGTTTTTAATGGCGTTTATGAGCTTGACTTTAGTCAAAAGATTAGTTCGTCCAGCAGACAAGGGATAGTTATGTTTGCTACGACGAGTCCTTCTCTCAACTTTAGGTCAAAGAGGAAGTTTTGAATAACAAAGTAGAAGCTTTAAAAAAAGAACTTGATGGTGCGCTTGAGTGCCAGCCTCTTGAACAGCAGCGCTTTAGGGTTTTGGAAATGAAAATCGCAAGCATGCAACAAAGGCAAACGGACAGGGAGGGTGAACTGCGGAGTCTCCTTCGCAAGGTCGAACCGATGTTTGTACCAGGTGGGCAAGATTCACACTGGCGAAAGATTGTCAAGAGAAGAATGAGCAAATCAAGCAGTTTAGGGAAGAACTGGATTCAATTTTAGATGTATTGAAACATTTGATGCGAAATGAGTCAGTTCAGCTCTGACAAATGTATAATATCCTCGGAGATATCTATGCGACCCTTATAAATGTAAATATATTTAAATGCCAGTATTCATAGATTATCAAAGTGAAAAATCGAGATATTGAAAATTTATAAACAAGGAAATATGAATTGCCTTTATTACTTAGCCTTACTTGTGTTGCTAACGAATGAATCTTTTCTACAACTTTGTTATTGGGATCCGTGTGCGATCCAGGGAAGATTTTTTTCTCTGATACCAAGACTGAGATGTCAAAAGTTTTTGTGCATCAAACTGGTAATAAAGACTGGTAACGAAGATAACTAAATTTTTCGTTTCAATGATTGTTCGTTTCACTTCTGTCCTTGGTCTTAATAATACGGAATTGAAGTAGTAGACTACGGATATAAACAGTTGAAGCTAGTGGTGTCAAGAAACTGTATGACAAGAACACGTCATTTCTGAGAAAAAAAGAATGATTAAGTTCTTTATTACAAAGTAAGGTGAGGGCATTTTATTGACAGCTACACACCCAAGAACATAGTCATATTTAATTAACATTTTAGCAACATTCAGAAACACTTTGTAATTTTAAACAACCAGCGTTCCTTTTTGGATACTGGATCTGGAAAAGATTAGATTGGTATAGCGATGTTCTCACAAATATGTCGATCAAGTACTGAGAGTTTGCTTGGGAAGAATTCGTTGTTCAAAGAAGAGCCATTCATCATAGCAGCAGTGATATTTGTGTAACTGATAAGCAGGATACTGATGCTGCAATTTTGTTTATTATATAGAATTTTTATAAGTGAAGTTGTTCAGTTTATCAAGTGCTAAGCAATTCGCCAAGTTAGGGCCATAAATCTATTGATGGGGTCTAAGATTAGATCACAGGTTAGCTGGCCATACCAGTCAAAGTAAAGTAAATTCTCTCCTGGCCGCGTGAAGAATCTACCATAAATCAAAGTCTTCGTCTTATGTTTTTCGAATTCTCTTTCAACAAAACAAAACATATCATATTTAATTTACAAAGTACCAAAAGTTCGTTCGTAGTTCAGTTTTCCTCTTCCTACTACCTCCGCGTGTACCTAAAAGTCCCGGATGCACCCCTTTAGCGTCCAATATTTCCTATACTCCCCTAAAATTAATGCAAAGTGTTAATTTTATTTCAATGTTTTTAACCCATCTCCCTTAAATGTATTCTTCTTCTTTTTCAGCAATACGCTTTATCTTTGTCTTTGCAGCTCTGACTGCTTGCCTCTCTGGTCGTGCTTCTTTTGCCGCCTCAGCATCATCTGTTTCTTTGTTCGCAACTCGTATTCGTTGATTCAGCTCCTGTAGAGTCATAGTTGACTTTATCTCTAGGGGGCAGGTGAGCTGTATAGGGCATTCCCATATCTTATTTGTCATAGACTCGAACGAGACAGTGTTTGTGAAGACCCAATTTCTCCAGAATTTTGTCTTGCAATCTGTTTATACAGACTTGGCAGGGGGGATTATGTTGAGACAATCGCTGAAATGGTTGGCCTTGGCACTTGGCCAACTGTTTCCACAATTGTGAATGAAGTCAATGAAGCAATTGTTTCGTGCATGTGGGAAGAGTGTGTTAGTTCATTGATGCCTTCTTCAGAGGAAGATTTCCAAAGCCAAATTTTGGATGTAGAAGAACAATGGCAGTTTCCTTTTACATGGGCAGCTGTTGATGGGTGTCACGTCCCAATGAAATGCCCTCCTGGTGGTAACGAGGCTAGCAAGGAATTCCACAACTTCAAAAATTTCTGCTCAGTAGTTTTAATGTCACTTGTTGATGTCAAATACCGCTTCATTTGGGGAAGTTGTGGATTTACTGGCAACTCTCATGACTCCATCATCTTGCAGTCTACTTCACTTTGGGCAGACCTTAAGAATGATAAGCTCTTGCCACCTTTGATGCACACCGAGCAAGGAATACTCATCCCACCACTGATCATTGGAGACTCAGCTTTTCCTCTAGAGGCATGGCTAATGAAGCCATACACAAATGCAGTACTGACAGAGAAGCAGCACAATTTTAACTATAGACTCAGTCGGGCAAGAATGGTGGTCGAATGTGCCTGTGGTCAGTTGAAAGGGAGATGGCGTTTAATCATGAGAAAATCCGAGGGAGGCCTTTTTCAACACAAAGTGGCCACGTTAGCATGCATGGTATTACATAATGTTTGTTTGATGAATGGGGACATAATCCCTTCAAAGTTGGATCTGAGCATCAATCCTGAAACAAATAAAAAGCGTGATCGCTCTGAAATAAGAGAAATTTTGCTAATGAAAACAAGCAGGAATGTGGTTGATCACCATAAAACAACAACAGCAACTAAAATTAGAGATACAATTGGAAATAAACTATGGAACGAAAAACAAAGAGATGCTTAAGTATAGTCTTTAAAAATTTCTGAATAGTTTTTATATGTAGGAAATTGTGAGCGCTCCTTCCTATCTCTCTCTCTCTCTCTCTCTCTCTCTCTCTCTCTCTCTCTCTCTCTCTTTCTCTCTTTCTTTTGTGTATAGTTGTTGTTGTTGTTGATTGAATTCAGTTGAAAAGAAGATTTCTTGCTTACGAACGACGACGACAGTCACGATGAAGGAAGATAGATGCGAACGACAGTCACGATGAAGGAAGATAGATGCGAACGATTCACGTAAAGAACAATATTCAAAATAATACTAAATCAAGACCTTGATGGACCGAGGTGACTTCGTTAAAATTCTTACGTTATTTTCTTCTCTCTGGACGTTAATTCTTCTCTCTGATTAATAATTCGTGGTTGTTTATGTCATTATATTCGCTGATGTTTATACTTTATCTTGCATTTAAATTCGAATAAGAAATTATACAGTCCTCTGACTTTGATATAGAATTTGATCTTCAAGACGAATGAACCTATATGGTAATTCTAACCTGCCAAGTAAATAGATCTTAACTATTTACATCTTAGTAGTGATTCCTGGCAGGTAATTCTCTAAATACATTGCAGCCCTTATCTATGAGAAAATTACAACAATCTTTAAGATCTGAACAGTAGACATTATAGAAAAATCGATAAGGATAGCATGTCCCCCCAAACATGTCTCTGATTGGTTTGCTCAACTCTCAACTGACTATTTTTACTTTAGATATTTCGGTGAAAAATAACTCGTAATGTAAATATTCCTATGTCAAGTTCCTTATCACCAATTGGCATTTACGAATGATATAACTTAGGGCAATAAGCAGTACATAAGGAAACATTTAGCTCTAAATGGAAACCCTGGGCCAGCTTATGGCTTATCATGCAGGATTAAAAAGACCCAAATTAGCAAATATATTTTGTTTAAGGTGTCATACCTACAAACCATACTGGAACTACTTGCTCAATCTCTGCATTATAAGTCCACCAATAATCTTTCAAAGAAATATCATCTATGATCCTGTCGTTGTAAAGCAGCCAATAGTACAATTGATAATACACTGTAAGATGCCTTGTCGCATAGGGTCAGGATCAGGGGGAATGGCTTCCGATGACTTGACATTAAGTGCCTTGTTCAGTCGAACTCTAGCTTGAACGAGCTTTTCATCCAACTTCGCTTTGTACAGGGATGTTTGCACAAATTTCGAGACATCGTTAATTGCATTTTCAGATAAACTTTCTTCTAAACCAAAATTTTGAAGCAAGATTAAGCTTTTGTTCTTTTTGATTAGCTTTTTTGAGCAACTTGACCTTCCCAATCCCAAAAAAGAAGATGTTGTATCACATCCTGTCAGCGCATGTATTGCTAGTTGCTTTGAGATCTCTCCTAGAAACTGCACCACCTTCTCAATGTCGATATATCTGCCATAATCGATCTTCATGTACGATTTCCGATTGGGCCTGTCAATACAGTACGCGTACACCATACGAATGAAGAATGCTGTGCTTTTGCGACAATAACTACGTTTGTATCCTCTAAGCAAGCACGAAGAATTAAGCGTGTGTCCGCTTCTTCGTGATTACACTTGAACAACGGTGCTGTGCTTTCTTTCGTAATTTTCCATGTTTCATCTTTGTCTGTGAAGAGTAGCGGGATAGAAATATGCTTCTTTGTTTCTTGACTCTTAAAAAAGTAGCACGAACTCTTATCAAATCTGCTTTATTCTCAATATTGTGAAAAAAGGATAGCCATTCGTTGCCTATCAGCATCTCTTGGTCAAACCTTGAACGTGAACTCTTCGTCCTTTATCTCCTCTCTTGGCTCTTGTGCCGCTTTTGACACTTTCTTTGTGATAAGTGTCGTTTATGATCTCTACTTGAATGGGGTTACGGTCGCCTTGAGGAACAGCGACCTTTAACAAGGACACGAACCATTCACAGCCATCCAATCTATCAACCATCTGGCATTTTGTGGACAATCTTGTGTCGTTGCCTCTGACTGTGCAATTATGTAGGCTCGACGAAGGTGGTTCTGTTATGGCCGTAAAGTTCCATCGGGGGTTGCAAATAGACAAGGGCACAGAGGTAAGTGGGTATTGAAAAGCCTCTTCAATATTGATCGATTTGGATAGCAGATCTCCAAAAGTTTGGCAATCTTCCTTTAGAATTGAAACTTTCTTTTGCTGCTTCACCCTCTTGGACAATCCTGTTTCAAGTTTCATCTTATTTATGGGCTGAAAAAAATTCACGGCCTCTTTTACTAAGCGATCTTCCAGAAACTGAAAATACTTTTCGTTACCAAGCACAGGAGCGTCCAGAAGGTCTTTGACAACTCGGTGGTCTAATTTCTTACCGGTTGTAAGATGTCGAGCTGGTCCTTTACCCATTTAATCTATGTTATAATCTCGCAGGTTTTGCTTAAAGGACAAGTGACACACTTTTCACCCTATCTTTTCTTTTCATTATCTTATAGATCATCATTTAGAAGTGAGTTTTTTCTGGTTTAGAACAAAAAATTCTAATCAGGGGGCGCGGGGGGCGCGATTTTGGTTCTTATCACGTGACCCAATGACGTACATTGTGATAACTCGGAATTTCCCTGCCATTGATAGAGAGTTTACGAAACACGACGCGACAGGTCCAGACGAACTGAATTCGTTTAGAAGCGTGTTGTAAACGTTAATATTGCACTGTATACCAGTAGCAGCAATAACAAATTATCACAATCTACGTCACGGTGTCACGTGATTCATTTCCCGCCATAATTTGAAAAGGGTTTTTAAGTAGAAAAATGAAATCAGAAAGGAAAAATATTTCAACAACACTCTCATAGAGCATTTTACTTTAAGTTAAAAAAAAAATTTGGCGCCAAAAGCGTGTCACTTGTCCTTTAAGTTTTTCTACGTGCTTAACATGAAGCAGCTTTCCTGCTGATGTAGACTCTTTGTGAACTGCAGATGTTTGAAGGTTTATTCTTTCTCGCAATTCCGTCCAAAGCCGTGAATGGATGTGTGAGGTTTTAACCCAAGTATTCACTGTATTTATGTCGATGCTATACCCTGATCGAAATTGACCTACAGTTCCTTTTGTCTCGCCATTAAAGACCTCAGTTATCAAATCATCATCAGATATTTCCAACAGATAAACTTCCCCCATAATGTCATCAAACAAGTAACTTCCGGTAAAATTTTTTTGGCCCATCTTGAATTTGAAATCTCCATAGTTGATTTAG